TAAATTTTAATGAAGACTTTTTTCTAGTTGTTTCCCCTTAAATAAAGCCAAATTTTCCCAAAAAAATAAACTTGAAAAAAAATGTAATAAGTTTAGGAAAAAAAAAAGATTTTAAATAGATTTTTAATGATTTACATGAATATGTTGATTAAAGATTGATTTTGCCCTTTTTTAGTATTTATATATTTCTACTGCCCCCTTTAAATAATGCAGTAGTGATGTATTGCCCCATTTTTTCATCTTATTTAAATTTCCCTGGATTGCCCGTGTCAGTTACTTTCCTTTTCACTCAAAAATAAAATACCCCCTACGTGTTTTTAAGGGTTTTTAATGAAATCCCTGAATCTGGGGCCCTGCCCGGGTTTAAAATTTATTTATTGGGATATAGTTTATGGGAAACCCTTAATAACATTGAGCTTTTTTTGTATTTTAAATTGCTTTCAATAACTTCAATTTTTAATTTGAAAATTGGGAAACTAAGATTAAAAAAGGGGCAAATTTAAAAAAAAAGAAATCTTTTAAAAAAAGTTATTTTAACGCGCGTAAAACTTGATGTTTTTAAAAATTTTTTCCCCGGGTTAAAATTAATACCTTAATTTCTCTCCAAAAAATTATTTATTAATATAAAATTTTAAATTTTACACAAAACTGTTTAGTTAAAACATAATTTAATTTTCAATGACTTTTTTCAAAACAAACCCAAAAATCTGGACTATCTTAAAGGGTAATTATTGAAGCAATAACCCCAAAGAAAAAGTTTTTTTTTGGTTTTAACATTTCGGTTTGCTATTGGGAGTGTATCACCTATATAAAGCCCACGCTTAGAAAAATATAAAAAAAAAATTTTATAAAAGTATTTTTAAAAGGAAAATTGTTTTGGGCATATTGATAATTTTTTTTAAAAAGAGTTTAAAAATGTCCCTTTAATTGAAAAAAGTTAAATGGTAGTTGGGGAAAAAATCTTGCGGTAAAATTGTCTTTTTAAAAGTTTTTTAAGGCCCAGACAGGTTTCCCTTTTTTATTCCCCAAATGTTTTTGAAACAAAAGCACAGACATTGTAATGGATGGAAAAAAAGGGAGAGAGGTTTTGGGGCACAGGTCTTTAAAGGAACCCGGATTTACTGTGAAAAGGCGGGAAACCCCTTTTCCCATTTTTTACCGATTTATTCTTAGTGCTTTTTCCCTTTAAAAATCCCAAAAAATTTGAAAAATTTTTTCTTTAAAAAGGACACCGAAAATGAAACACTTTTGTTAAAAATGTTCCCCAAGGTTTTTTGTTGGAAAAAAGAAAGACTTTAAAAAATGAAAGAATCAATAAGCGTGAACTTGAAAAAAGAAAAAAAAATGAAGTAAGTAACGTTTGAAAGTGGGACGTGCGATGCGCGAAACATATCGGAGCAGTGTGTTATCTAGAATGTGTTCTTGCTTTGAAAAATGAAGGAGTGAGAGAAGTGTTCGAAAGAAGCAACAAGGGGCTGCGTTAAAAGGTTGAGGAAAAGAAGAAAATAATAATTAAATGTAAAATAATGTGACTTGTGTGTTTCGACTAGGAAAATGTAAGGACTGAAGCTTTTATATATCTGTCAAGAACAATGACGGAATGATTAAGGGAGGTGATCGAGACAGAAAATGTTTTTTGCGTTAAATGAACAGCTTAAGAAGAGAGAAAGTTGTTATCAGAATAATATTGCTAAGGACAATAGTGAGGTTGGAGAAGTACCAGTATTTCAGGCAGCAGAATAACATCTGCTCGAACGGCGAAGAAAATGATGGCGATAACATGAAGAATAATGTAACATTTGAGACATTTGAAACACTATTTTAAACGGTTACACATTTCGTCACAGTTTCGTTTGTGTCAATGATTATAAACATTTGCGATTTTATTTCTTTTGAAAAAAAAAAGAAGACATTAATATCTAGTAAAGGTTCAATAAAACCACGGTGGCTTGACGCATTAAGACTGCCTTTTTAGCATTGTGCATTGTATTATAAACTTTGCAATCATTAAAATTATTAAACTAATTACTTAATGACTGAACACTGCTCTCTAATCATATATATGTATACTAGTCATATTATCATATTACATTCCATCACAGCTTTAGTTTACATATGTTTTATCTGTTGTATAAAATACAGCGAATAATGAAAAATTGCGATGAACGATTTGATCGAATAGTTTTGTATTATTTCCTGTTAATTTCAATTTAACGTTGTTGTTATCTTTATAAACATTCATAAGATGTAAACAATAGACTTCAGATTGTTCTGCTTGCATAAAAAATCATGAATAAGTAAAGAATGTGTAACATTGTTTGTGATGTTTAAGGTGTTTAGCCTATGCAATATCAGTCAATTTAGGTGCATATATAATAGTCAAAATAATTTCTAGATATTTTCTATTATAGTTTGTGTTTACGTTTTTAAGTTTCTCTTGTGTTTTCAATTGTATGTATTGCAAATATTTGTGCATATATTGTATGTAATTACTAAAATATATGCATTCATTTCTTATTGAAAAATTTGACTAAGACTAAAACCATAAAAAATGTGTTACAGGAGCTTTAAAATGATTATGATTGTTACATATTTGTTCAACCATAAGCTTACCAAAATAGCCTTTGTTCATATATACAATGGTTTTACAAATATCTTAGATAAGTTACAACCTCTGTGTTTGTTCACATCTAAAATTACGAAGAACTTCTTTCAATCTGTTTTTATTTTAAAAGTTATTACAAATAATCGAACATTTACTCCGCTACACCAGGGACAAGTACCTTGTCATTTGATTTTATGACATTGTATGGGGTACGGATAGATTAAAACAAAGGACATTTCAGATACTTAAATAATGACAGCAAACAAAAGAAATAGGATATCTAGTTATGTATGGCTGTTTATCGTATATTCAATTTTGTCAATATTTTGCGTTGTTATTTGGAAAAGAAAAATAAATCGACAAATAACAACCAACACTATGAGTGATATACTCTGAATGATATAGATTTTATCTCATTAAAAAACCCAGACTTTCACTTATAAGCATAAACTCTGTCTAATCGTTGTAATAGTTTTTAATTATAAGTGAAAGTTTGGGGAGCTTATTTAATGAGATAAAATTAGCAATTTTACTCAGAGTATATCATCCATAGTGATGTTTACATTTTTCTTTCGTGGCCTTCGTTTAAATTTATGATTCTGTAAATTTCTTTATAAGTGTTTTGTGTATCTTGTTCTGTAAATTATATTTCACAATTCAAAGACAATTACTGCACTAAGACAAGTCACCGCAATAATGACGTTATTCCGCAGTTTAAGTAACAACTACGCTGATAAATTTGTTCGGGTAATCTTGAATCTCCTGAATCATATTTCAAGTACGCTAAAAAAGAGAATTTGAAGGAAAATTATGACAAATCTTTGACTCTTAATATAATGTCCTTGCAAAAGAAACACTTTCAGGGAAGGGCTTACTTACATGGGATAATTAACCAATAATTAAATTCATTCTTTTGATGGTTATTTTATTTCCAGTGTCAAGATATTTTCTAAGTATGTCTCTTTTTCCATTGTAACATGTCGCAGCTGATGTTTATAGATCAGAATAAACACTTAAATGTAAAAAGAATAAGGAAGATATCATCACGTGCATATCATTGTTTAATATAACGGATATTCCAAGTAAGACAATTGTTCTGTGTAATGGTCGTGTGCGGGTAATTCTACGAAACGTCGTATATTAACGTCCCTTTATATAGTCAATTGTATACAGTTTTTTATTGGTTGGTGAAATTAAAGCTTTTTTTCACATACTATGTAAAGAAAAGTATACAGAGACATGTGGGACTTATAATAGACTTATTTTTTGATATGTATAAAGTCATTTTGTTAATAAAACTAAATAATAATAACAAGTGTCTTCCATAGCAACCAGTGACTTTCTTGCTATAGCAACCATCGACTTTCCATAGCAACCATTTAATTCCCATAGCAACTAGTGCCTTTCCTTGGCAACCATAGACTTTCCATAGCAACTTTTAACTTTCCATAGCAACCAGTGACTTCCATAGCAGCCAGTGAATTTTCATAGCAATAAATGACTTTCATAGCAAATATTTACATTCTACACAAATGTGTGAATCTACGATTGAATTTTATAGCCGGCACTGACTTTCAATGAAACCATTTATCTTATATAGGAACCAATGCCTTCTTTAGTAGCTATTGTTTTCCCTAAGCAATTGCAACCAGTTATGTTTTACATGTGCACTATTTCAGGTGCAACTATGAACATGAGATATTAGATTAAAATGACTTTCCATAACAACATGTTACTTCTATATACATAGCAACTATCGACTTCCCATATCAACCATTGACTTTCATAGCAACCAGTTATTTATATAGGAGCCAAAGCTTGCTATAGTAACCATTTACTTTCGGTGCTAGGAGGCGTGGACGGTAACATGCACTTTCCAGTACTGTCTATGAACAGACTCAATCAAACCGAGTCTGCAACATTTTACAATTTTGCCGTCTTGGGCTTTCTTGAGTGTTCTGTTATTCTCTATTTTACCATAGCAACCACAGACTCCGATAACTTTTCATTTTCCATAGAAACCAGGGGCTTCTACAGGAACTATTGACTTCTGTAACACGGTAGGGAATCACGTGACTTTTACGGTTACGCGTACAGACAATATGGCGGCCTAAAAACCTCGCTTCACATGTGTTTTCAGGTAATTCTTTATTATATCCCTTTTACTTACATACGAGACCTGTTGCAGCCTACGCGGAATAAAGAATTGTTGCCGCCTATACCTTATTTTCCACCCCTGTGCTCATAGCTTTTTCAAACACTCGAAAATTCAACAGAAATTTTCAATGTGAACAATTATTTTTCGGGTAACATTCACACAAATTTTTTATTTTTTATGAATTTGATTAAACTACGTCGCGTTAGCAAAGAGAAAATGTTCATAGAATTTCTTTATTTGAAAATGTAAATATCAGGCATGTTAAATGTTGACTGGTCATTTTCTATTCCAATACATGAGAGAAAAATGATTTGGGTAACTCCCACGCGTACTTTTATTGTTGATAACTCCCACGCAATATTTTATGTGCAAGCAATATCTATGCAGGTTATAGCCTAGATATTGATTGAACAAAATCATGATTGATGCATTTAGCCTTAAACGTTCATAGAATTTTGAATAATATTAAAAATACCGCCAAAAGGTCCTGGATAGAATTAAGCCCCTATGGATAGCAGAATACATACTCACGTAAATATATTAAATGAAGTTTCGATATAGATGAATTAATCGCAGAAATTAAAATAAAAGTCTCAAATATAAGAAGGAGGTCGATTTCAAATTAAGCACAATTACAGTTGTCATTTTTCATAGTTTGCAGATATGGACAGTTCAAGCTCGGATATTGTTTGTGGATAATGTTGGAAAACATTTGTCTTAATGACCACATAAACTGGCTACTCGGCACAGGACCTTGTAATTAAATGTTGTGGCAAATCGAAACGTGACAGGTATGGCATTTTACTGTTATTCGTAATATTAAGATTTTAAAGACATCCAAATAATTTTATCACTTAGTCTTTTATATAACCAACTTTTTTCAAATTAGTGTCTGTATTTAACATTATTATGTTGTGTTTTTTTTATCTAAAGCATAAAAGAAAACAACCTAAAGAATATTAGAATGGGTCTTTTATTTTACAAACTAGGTAATAAAATCTAGAGGACTTATGTTTGAATGTCATCTTAATACCAACAGTAAATCCCGTAACGTTTCCGATTTGCTGGGCTATAAAATGTTTTACCACAACATTTATAAGGTCCTGTGCCGTGTAGACTGTTCATGTGGTCAATATTTGAGACCTATCCGTGAATGAAATGTTTTCCAACATTTATCACAAAACAATATCCGAGATGGAACCTTCCATATCTGCAAACTATGAAAAATGACAACTGTAATTATACTAATAAAAACAGAAATACAAAACCTCCTTCTAATATTTTAGACTTTTGTATCAAAAACGCGACCTAATTGAATGATTTGGGTTTGGTAGGCCTTACGCGAAATTATTGATGTCCTTGGCAATTTTATGATTTTACAAGCCATGCCTTTTTGAAATTTATTTATCATATTATTGTAACCTATAAGCAGATGAAGTGATGTTCGGCCCATATAATTTACGCCCCAAGGACGATTCGTCAATTAAACTGTATTAATTTTATATCTTAGTGATTGTAAAATTAAGTGTGAATTAGTTTGAAAAGTACATTATATCCATTGCATTATCAAAACAACAAATATTGATTAAACTGTTTGAGGTTAAAAAACAAAGATGAGTGTTAAATTTTAAAGTTTATTGCCGTGAATTTATAGGGAATAATAAATCTATTTTATATTCTAGATCCTGGTCCTGGCTGAAATTTAGAGTATTACAGCTGTAGCTTGTATACCATAAATTAAACATGGAAAGGACTGTTCTTGAGAAAATTGCTGACGTAACTGATGGAGCAGTTTTTCTTACCAATCATAGGTCAGACTTAAATAGCTTCTTTTTAAAAAGTTTTGTTGTTTTTTGTACATAATTTACTGTCAATTTGAAACTTCAGCTGTATCTTAATTTCTATGCTTTTTTATTATGTAAATCTGAGAGATAAGCATTTTAAGATAAAACAAATCACTAAGTTGATTAATTATATATATAATTTGAGATTGACCAAGTCAATTTTAACTAGTAATTTCTTATTTTATTTGCAGAAGCAGTAGAAGTATTCAAACACCATCATGAAACACTTAAGACATACACAGAGAGCTCTAGAAGAAGTACTAGTGGTAGATTGGAACAGATTGTAGCTTAATTGTTAAACTAAAAGGATTTCTTAAATCGTTTGAATTTAAGCTACACTTGAACTGTATTTTTGAAATAAAATAGCTGAAATATTTAATAGTGTCTTGATTTGTAGCTCACCTTGCACATAGTGCAGGTGAGCTTTTAGGATGGCCAATCAAATGCGTCCGTAGTCCGGCGTCCGTCCACATTTTATTCAAACGACATCTATAATACCACTTGGCCAATTTTGATGAAACTTGGCAGGAATACTCTTTGTATGAAGCTCTATCAAGATTGTTCAAAGAATGCCATTCCATGCTAAACTCTGGTTGCTATGGCAACTAAAAGAAAAAAAACTTAAAAGTTCTTATACTTCAAAATGGAAAGGGCTAGAGCATAGATATTTCTCACAAGGCATAAGCTTGTTGGTGTCTACAAAGTGTATTCAACTTATGGTCTAGAGTTGAAAATTGGTCTCTGTTTTGGGGGTTAAAGGGTTTTTTATTGCAAGGTTATATAGACTTTCTTTGTAGGGATAAATTGAGATAGTGTATCTTGTATTTTTTGTCTCAACAGACATTGTTATGAAGATTTTTCTGTTAAAGCATTAGAAAGATGAAAATTTTGTTGAATGTGAATGTTGATTCTAAACAGAGTCAATCAGAATAACACAAATTTGAGAGCTACAGTGAAGTTGATTTCCCCATTCAATAATGGATTCTTTCATTAATTTCGTAACACCATCAGAAAGGAGACTGTGTCATTTCCGAAATACAAAGTAAAATATTTCGGTTCTTGACAATGACTTGCACATTATATGTGTAAGATATTGCACAAAGAAACGAAAGTGAACAAATAATGTTGTTTTTTTTCACAAGAATTAGTTGATAAAGTTAAAAATTTAATTTACAGTACGGATATTACTTTTACTATCCTTCCGGTTTGCGGGAAAAATCATATATTTCAACATCGTCTACACCGGTCTTACTGATGAACGAATTGAGTCATAATATTTCATTCTGAGAACAAACATACAATTCAAATCATTAAATAATGCATATCATTTTACAACTTTGCCTCAGAAGACATCTGTATCAATCTGACCTCGAGTTGAGATTATAAACAAAACTAAACCGGAAGTAGGACAAAATGGCGGCTTTGCCAAGAAAAATGAGAAATTTTGTAACATAAACTCGTATTTCATAACAAAGAAGTGAAGATGAATACAATTATCGATGTGCATCGGTGATACAGGTATTTTGTTAACTGTTTGTGAAGTATTCAGGCATGACATTCAGTATTTATGTAAATATCACCTTTCGTGTTCTTATTTCTAAAATAATACTGTCCTAGGATGATAACTTGAGCCTTTGTTTACATAACAAAGACCAATAACAATCCGAAAAATAGGTTAGGCAGATCAATGCCACAACCTATAAAAATGAAAATAAAACTACATATTATCATATGACTTGTTAGCGCAGTAGGTAGAGTAACCGTGACAGCAGTGTGTTTTACCCGTACAGGCAGAAGTCCGACTACTGGTAACATGGTACATATTTTTTGTTTACTTCAGCACAGCCAATTGTTCAGAAAACAAATTTGACCGGTTTTTGCATATACATACATGAATATGATATCGAATATTTTATTACACTGCGATCAAAAATAAATACAAAAAGAAAATAGAATGGAAATAAAAAAATATATATATATATATATATATATATATATATATATATATATATATATATACTATAAAATATATATTATAAGAAGAAAACAAAAAGGAAAACGAAAAATAAATAAAGAATAATGATGAAAAAAACAGAGTAAGAAGAAAAAACTGTGGTTATAAAATGACTCTAAGTGGGATTCGAACCTATGAGTACAAAACACAAATACCGTTGTTACAATTACTCCGACCTACCGACAGAGCCATAACGGTAATACACAAACAATTCTGTAAGAATAATGCTATATAGTATGTGTAAGTGTTTACTTTTACGATATCGGATAATAATCCAGATAACCCCGTTTTTCGACTTTCCCATGTACCGTTAAGACCAAATTATCATCTTAGGACAGTACATGTACACATGTGTTATTGACCTCAATAAATGTAAGTGAAAATGGAACAATAATTATAGTTATTATCCATGGTGCTAGAAATACTTAATTTTCTTTATCATTTAGTTAACTAAGCAAGAAGTTTACGTAATTTAAAAATTATCTAACCTCACAATAGTTATCAATTTAAACTTGAAAATCTACTCAAAATGACTTCCCAAACATTTTACAAGATTTAACTTTACAATTAAACCTGTGTATATAACCACTCATGTGAACAGGAAGAATTTTTTGTAGAAAGGAATGTTCTAATATGATAAACCACATGCTTGGGGATTAGATCCTGCCCCCAACATGATACCCCTGAGTAAACACTATCAAAAATATTTTAATATTTAAACACTTATGGGATATCTGTTACGACAATAATACTGGTTTTCGAAAAAAAAATACATAATTATATGCAAAAAAATACTGTTTACCATCATGTATTGAGACTTGATTCCGGGCAGGCAGGCGAATTGGTTGGGCCATTTTTGGTAAAAGTTTTCTCAGCAACTACTTATCAGAGCCTCATGATATTTAGTATACAGCATTAACACATTGTCCCATACCATTGGATTTGATTTCAGGTCTGTCACTCATCCACTTCATGTTTACTGACTTAGTTAAATTCATAATAATAGTCAATGGTAGGAATTTTTTGTAACAATTTTCTCAGCAACTACTTATCACAGCCTTTATATTTGGTATACAGCATTAACATGTAGTCGCATACAATGGGATATGATTTTAGGTATGTGGCTCATCCACTTCCCGTTTGCTGACTTAGTTAAATTTTAGGCATTAATTGTAAATGTAAAGGAATTTCGGTAACAGTTTTCTCAGCAACTACATATCACAGCCTCTTGATATTTGGTATTGTGACTGCATTAACATGTGGTCGAAAGTTCAGGTCTATCGCTTATCCACTTCCTGTTTTCCGACTTAGTTAAATGTTTGACATTGATGGTCAATGGTAAGAAAATTTTTGTAACATCACAGCCTCATGAGTCATGTTATTTGGTATACAAATGCAACCCGGCCATTTTTGTCTTTGACCCATTTTTATTGAAGTATTTTCCAAATTTGTACTTCGTCTTGTTAATTATGATGTCATTGTTAAAATTTTCATGATGTAAACACGATACAGGGGGTGTATTTTTTAGCAACCTGTACTTTAAAGAAAAGAAAAAAGAAAATGACGTTAAAGAATTTTATAAACCTGTTGCTTGTTTTTAAGATCTATTTCTTAAGGTGAGCGATATAGGGCCATCATGGCCCTCTTGTTTTGTTAAACTCTGTTACAGTACTTTGCTTTATATTAGAATTAAAGTATGTTGAAATGACATTGAAACTTTAACGTTGTGCCAACGTTGAACTTCAACGTTTTTTAAACTTTCAAATTCGAACATAAATCCAACGTTATTTCAACGTTGAAATTTGACCATACTTCAACGTTGTTCAACGTTGATGTGCCTGCTGGGTAAATTCTATCAAGGACCTATTGGCGGTATTTTTAATATTATTCAAAATTCTATGAAAGTTTGATGCTGAATGCATCAATCATGATTTTTTTTCAATCAATATCTAGGCTATAACCTGCATAGATATTGCTTGCACATAAAATATTGCGTGGGAGTTATCAACAATAAAAGTACGTGTGGGAGTTACCCAAATCATTTTTCTCTCGTGTAATGGAATAGAAAATGACCAGTCAACATTTAACATGCCTAATATTTACATTTTAAATAAAGAAATTCTATGAACATTTTCTATTTGCTACCTCGACGTAGTTTAATCAAATTCACAAAAAATACAAATTTTGCGTGAATGTTACCCGAAAAATAATTGTCCACATTGAAAATTTCTGTTGAATTTTTGAGTGTTTGAAAAAGCTATGAGCACAGGGGTGGGAAATAAGGTATAGGTGGCAACAATTCTTTATTTCGCGTAGGCTGCAACAGGTCTCGTATGTAAGTAAAAGGGATATAATAAAGAATTACCTGAAAAACACATGTGAAGCGAGGTTTTTAGGCCGCCATATTGTCTGTACGCGTAACCGTAAAAGTCACGTGATTCCCTACCGTGATTATTGTCTTTCACTATAAAATCACTACAAGAAAAGCATTGATGCAAAGCATCAAAGGGCGTCCAAGCAAGAAGTGCAGCAGGTGAAGATGAACTAGTAGATATATATAATGACCAGATATTCTTATAAACTTTTCAATGGTTAATTGGTTTTTACCAGAATTGTATATAACTTATGAATGAACGGACGAAAGACATTATTCATTATTAACTTTCATTGGCATGCTAGAGATTAAAATATTACTTGTTATTTCTTTAGGATCGTTGTTATTAATAGCAACGGATATACATGTATACAATCATTTATAATCCATATGTGTAACGCATGATCAACACCACACTTGTGTAATTGTCCCTTATTATGTTATCGCTATTAGCGAAGACTTCCTCTAGAGGTATCTGTTCACACTTACTTACAATATGACACTGGTTATATTACCATGTTGATCATGTTGAGCATAATTGTAATATCTATTTTAAGCCCCGGTCACATATTCACGGATAATGCCACGGAAGAGCTACGGTCTAATCGTTCACGTTCGTTCGTTTACTACGGAAATGTGAAATTCCGTGGTCCGCTACGGTTCCGGTACGGACACTCAAAAGTATGAGTACGGAGTCCGACGGATTTACCACCAAAAGCCCCCGGAGAGACACGAATTGTTACGGACCGACACGGTTTGATACGGAGCGACACAAATCAGGTCGGACGCACTACGGATACACTACGGTTTGCTACAGTATAAGCACGGGTTAGTTACGAATAAGTACGGTCTGATACGGAGGAGAACGAATTGATACGGAGAAGAACGAATTGCCACGGATCTATGCGGACCTTATACATCCGTCCACAACCTCTTGCTTGCTCATTTTCAATACGCCTCGAATTGCAAAGTTCAATGATTTTGGCGGAGAGGATTCGACCCAATCGCGTCCGACCCCGAGACACATCAGGTCCGATTAAAGTGAATTTCTTCAAGGACGCTGGATCCTCAAAAAGTTCGGCCATGAGAGCCTCATACTAAACATGAAGCAGTCTTCGTAAAAGCCCATCTCTAGTCCACCATCTCGTTTGTCTTCACTTACCTGATTAGATATGGATTAGTAATCATTAATGAAAAATGTTGATCAATACTGCTTCTCTTTTAATTTTAAGATTTGCTGTTCGTTTTCAATTACATTAATTATGTTTAAAAAATACGTAAAAAGCTAGTTAATTAATCTTATTATCACTTAAGGTCCAGCGTCCGAGGCTTATGAGACACTTCGTTTTATGTACATATTTACTCAAATTTCACAATCCAAAGTTTGTAAAATATGTAATTTTTTGTAGTACGATATTAATATATATTTTACCTCTATGGATGTCATCAAGCAGCTCGACCACTGCCTTCGCATTCAGAGCCATTTCAATATAAAGTTGCAGAAAGTAAATGGCAATTATCATTTATTGAATGTTTCCGCAAATATGTCTGTTTTTTACAAGAATGTAGTATTTATACCCTTGAAAAAGTGCATGATACTTAATTCATCGTTACTAAACAGTGGTGGACCGTACCATTCCGTACCGTTTCGTGTTGCAACGCAATAAACCGTAATAGACCGCGATAATCCTTGCTTCCCCGTAGTGCAACGTATTACGATCGTGGCTTTCCGTGACAATGCCGTATTAATCCGTATTAAAACCGTTGCTTGTGCGTAGGGTATCCGTACTAATCAGACGTGGGGTAATCGTAATCGGTAATTTAATTACAATTTTTTGAGTAATCACAGTAATCAGTAATCATATTTTTTTCCCTGTAATTTCATCATAATTTAATCAATTACATGACCAATTAATCAGTAATCACAATGATTACATGTATGATTACAATACATGTTAAGCTAAAAAAAATTGCTGAACAAACATACATATAAAGGTTAAAAAAGTACCAGTGTCAATGCCTACTAATTGTCTTAGGTAGTGGTGAATTAAATGCAGTCACTCAGGTCAGATTTGATGACACCTGTGTTTTAATAAGGTGATGAAAAGATCACTGACAGATTGACCCAATACATAAATGATTGTCACAATTATACCACTTTAATTTGCTGTGTAATTATAACAATGGCCTGGATAGGTATATTATCACTTATTGAGAAGACTTTACAGGTTCAGTAAAGAGCAAGTATAAGCTGCAATTACTGACAAAAAGTGAGATATGGTTATATTTTCTGTTACATTTTTGGTATTGTTAAGTCCATGTAGAAGCAAAAAGTACAAAAAGATTTTCATCATATCGAAAAGAAAGCAATATGCAAGCATGGCAGGAAATATGCCTGCTGTTTTTTAAATACTTCATATTGCCAGAAAAAAATTCCTGATGATGGCAATGTGAGAGCTAAATGCACACTTTGCGTTTCATATATATCAGGAAATGTTCAGAGAACATCAAACTTCATTACACATTTGAATGTAAGGTTATTAATGTTATTTTTTTCACAGAACAAGCTGCATGTATGTAACATGTAACATGTACAGTAATCATAAAAAAATGTAATCTGATTACTCCTGTATCTGAGACTATTTAATCAGTAATTTAATGGCAATTACAATCACAGTCAAAAAACTATGGCTCTAAAATGTAATCAGTAATTTAATTTAATCAAGCTTTTGACAAACATAATCATAATTTAATAAATTATAAAATTGTCAAGTAATCGCCCCCAATGTCTGTGTACAAAATACGTAGTTCTCTCCGTACCAAAACCGTGGAAATCCTTGACAAGTTGGTGGCTAACACTACGAATCATAACGGACTAGTACGGTTTTTGTACGGACCATTTACGTATCAGTACGGTTTAATACGGACTAACAGGGATACGCTACGGTTGATTTTTCCGTAGCAAATTTTTTTGCTATGCCTATAAATTGCTGCAATATTGCACATGCAGAGCAACTTAGACATATTAAATTGAAATTCGCTGCACTGGTGAGGTGGTCTCTAAGGTTAGTTAGGAATCCTTTACAATGAACATTGGTTGATTTAACCCTAGCAATACGTAATAAGTGAGAATTATATATAAAAATGAGGATAAATTGTAAAAAGTATATCAGCTTAATTCAGCAAGCATTATGACTCTAATTTTGTTTGTTTGTTTGTTTGTTTTGGGTTTTACGTCACATCGACACAGTATAGGTCATGTCGCGACGTTCCAGCTTTACTGGTGGAGGAAGACCTCAGGTGCCCTTCCGTGCATTATTTCAGGCACGAACGGGCACAAATTTTTGTGCATGTTCAAAAATTGTCAAGGATCGCTACGGATATACAAGGACTACTACGATTTATTACGATTATTGCTCCGCGCCCACAGGCGCGGAGCTATTTGTGTTTACTATTTTTTTTGTCCATGGGCCCGATTTGAGCAATAAATCCTTTCGATTAACAGCTAAAAGTAAATCCGCATTCAAGAACTCCTTTCGATTTCTATATTGGTTTCCCCGTCGGTGATTCGCAGCATGTCATATTAATGAATGAGAACCGGAAAGCAGTTCTGCTGTTACATAAATTCGAAATCTATAAATAGCTATAAATGTTTTGATTTTTGACACTTAGGTTACAAGTACAAATGTTGCTGCAATGCAGCAATTAAGAAGCTCCGCGCAAAAAAAAAATGTGCTCATTACAGATACCTTACCAAATTATGCCTACGCACAGGTCATGTTATATTCAGATTAAGTACTATTGTAGATTTTTTCCGAATGTTTTGTAAACCATATTTTGCATAATTATACTTATCTTATGCACTGTCCATAATTTAAAAGAGGCGAAAATTTTTTAATATAAAAATGCTTTCACTGATACCTACCTTGTAAGGAAAGTAATTCCATTGAATACAAACAAGACTTGTAAATGTTATGTGACATGACCGTACTGTGTTCTGTTTGTGTCACTACTGTAGTCAGTAACAGAAGATGATAGAAATATCAAAGTCTGTTATAATTGTAACAAATATACAAATAGTAACAAAAGGGACTAATATTATAATATAGTAATATTACATGCATATTTTTCATGTCAAATAAAAAAAAATGGTTTCTTTCAATACTGAAAGTAGAACACACTCTGGAATGAAAAAATGGGATCAATTTCGAAAAGACCAAATTCAGGATGTTTTTGTTTGTTATACACGCGTTACATGGTGATACAGTATTTATCAATATAATAGAAGACTGTTACCTGAATTTTAGGTAGGTATAAGGAAAGTCACTAATATCATATTCGTGCTAGACAAAGATATGAAAGCTACTTGACATTGGTAATATATAAAAAACTATTGTTAATTAATTTTTAGGGAGATCAATATATATTTTTTTGTTGAATTGCTTTTAAAAACCATTTCATAAAAAAACATTACACTTCATGTTCAAACTGCAGATAAAGTTTCGGTTGTTGTCATGATTTCTATCTATAGCTTATGCTTAAGGTGATTCCGCTTTGTCAGCCATGTTTGTTTTCCACTGTGTCTGTCCAAAGTGAAAAGTAGGCCAAAATTCATATAAACAACAAAGCTCTAATTGTAAAATGATAACCATTTGAAAAGTACACTTACAGGTTTATATTTTAAGGACAATTATTTTTTGTAAAAAAAAAGTTGAGTAGTACCATGAAAATAAACATCATTTACCTATTTCTTGTGTACATTGACAAACAGAAACACTTCACTGTTACACGTAAAAGGTTAGATTTTAAAGTTTGATTGTGTTTTCATTTTGATTGTAGTTCATAAGGCTATAAATGATGATTGTTTTCTTGCACTACTTTTTTACAAAAAATAATGGAGGCCATGTGCTTAGAAAGACATGAGATACTGATTTATTTCGAGTTAAGTTTTGAAAGATTTTTGTATTTTCTGCAAAAAAATAGTTTTGGTGGCACTAAAGCAGACTTTTAAAAGGATTTTGCCATTCATGAAATGTGCATAAAACTTTGCAACAGAATGTTTTTGGTCTTCAGAAATGTAGCACATTCAAGGTAAATATTCTTATTGTTATCATTTTTATTTTTGTTTATAATTGTCCTTAAAATATAAACATTGAAGTGTATTTTCAAATGGTTCATCATTTTACAATAAGAGCTTTGTTGTTATATGAATTCGCCGGTCATTATTGAAATCCCAGGAGAGACCGGGAATTACCGATAGGAGTACATCCCTCTATAAATAGATTTTCGGAATATTAAGGTCATCAACTCATCATTCTATTCAGCTTTCAGATACATGTAGAACAATAACCCTACCAAAATAACCCACTGTGTACTACAAAAATGATCAATAAAAATACCCCAAAGAGCGCGATTTATTGACGGAAAAGGTTATTTCATTTGAAAATGTTTGCATTGCGAAATTCTCCAGTTCGCTATTCATTGTAAATATCGCGACATTTCATATTTTAATTAATGATCAAGCACCCTCATACCAATCGGAATAATTGGCTTTTATAATGCCCAACTAAAAGGCTCGAGAAAATGCTGTCGCCCTTTCACAAAATCTGATTTCATTCCATAAGAGAATCTTGAGTCAGCCAACAGTGTACTGTAGAGTAAAAGGTTTTCTCAGCTCCAGCAAGTGAGGTGGTTTTGACCCAGGGCTGGTGATACGTTAAGTTTGTAACATCTGATGTAAGCCAAAATCATCTTCAAACTCTTCTTATAAGCATAAGTACATTCAAAGATGAAAGTTACATTGACTTTGGAGATAGGAACATGGGTCTTACACACAATAAGTCATCTTGATGTGGTAGAAATGTAACTCCTTTAAAATTTATCAGTTTGAAAGGGTGAATAAAAGTCAAGGATTTGTAGGTTCTGTATCTCTTTTATTTTCTGTTGGCACAACATGTATTTCAGACAAGACTAGTTCAATACAATCAAACATCTAAGTAACCACACTCAGTTTATGGAACTAAGTGTTTACATCAACACATATACAATATACACTCTTCTCTCTCTCTCTCTCTCTCTCCAGTGTGCTGTTACTATCCTTATAAATAATACCGATATTCCATAAATCACAAACATTTAAAACCATGAGGACAATGTACATGTCTCTTCCTCGAAAACGGGAGCTCAACTGAACACAATAGTCACATGATCAAACTGGCAGGAAATCATAACCACCCATAGAATAACACTGGTCCAAGGGAAACAACTCTCTTAATGACATATGATAAAGACTGACAGATTGTGTCCCTGTTACACACTTCCCTGCTATGGAAAATGACGTCCCGTTATTATCAAATATGATAAACAAGATCGACAAGGAAAGGCGGCGTACATGAAATCATACCAATAAATAATCAGGATAACAAACTACCCAGAACAAAACTACACCAATAGAATACTCCATCTCGAAACCATTAAACAAACAAACTCAACCCTAAATTAAGAGTCAATACATATCATTTCAGTGTTTTCTCTTACTATGTTGACATTATTTATATATATATAATTCAGCATTGACAATTATCTTTATAATTATCAACATTGAATAATTGATGTTATATAGTAATAATATTTGCTTTTGCTCTTCGCCTTTTTAATTGCGACCTCGCAATCTAATAACCGCGCAAAAAGATTAACATTTAAAATATCACACACTTTCAATATAAATCAACATGTATTTTATTGCAACATTTTACATGTTAATTTATTATCAAAGTACATTATAAGCACATAAGAATAACATACAATATAATAAACACATATTGCATAAAAACATTAAAATCTATGACTTCTTCTCAGAGAGGGTATCCAAAATTTGTTGAGCTACTTGTATGTCAATTCTGTTAAGTACTCCAGAGTTCATCAAGATATCTAATGCTTGCAATTTGGAGTCATAAGGTCTTGGCACCATCTGATACATGTAAAACTCTTCTTGCCATTTCGGTTTTCTCTTCTCTCTTCTTGATGTTCTAGGTGTTGGGGTTGGAGTTGGACTTGTTGCTATACTATGACGAGGTCTTGGCCGAGGTCTTACACTTTCTGTAGTTTCTCCTTCTATATCATCTGCTTGTTCTTCTGCTGTTACATCATGTTGATCTGTATCATCTTGTATATCCTCTGTAGTTGCCCCTTCTATGTCAGGATCATAAGATGTTGTACATATATTTTCTTCTGTGGGAAGTTCAACTTCTATAACTCCTTCCTTTTCTTCTTCTATATGTGTAGATATATCTTCAGACTCTTCTGTATCATCTAATCTTTCTTCTGTATTTCTATCTTCTATTCTGTCTTCTGTATCTTCTATTCTTTCTTCTGACTGATTATTCTGTTTCTTCTCAACACTATTCTTGTACTTAATAGGATTATGGGCGTCCCCACTGATATATATGTATTAGATACATATTCGTCTCCTATCTCTTCCTCATCTTCTGAATCTTCATCTTTAGTGATGTCACATTCTTTATCTTCTTTATTTTCTTTATTTTCTTTAACTTGATCCTTTGCTGCATTCTTCTTTTTCTCTTTCATCTATTATGGTTCTGTATGTTCTTTCATTTCAGTTCTGGTTTTTTTCTCTTTATTCAATTGTCCTTGGACTAGAAACAATGAGTGATTTTCTATGCAATAAACTTTAATCGTTACCTGACTTTCTGCTTTTTATCCTAAAAAATATAGTGGATATTTCTTCTCTTGGTTGTTCTATCCACGTTCCAGTATTTGAGGTGTCTTCTTCTAAGACTTTGTCCTGATATGGAATCCTTTGAATGTTTTCCATGTTCACAACTTCTCAGAAGGATTTTTACTAGTACTTATCTCCAACTGAAATGCACTCTGCGGCCTTTGCTTTCTATAATATATCGTGCAAGTTATTACTTTTTGTTTTAAAGTCTGGGCTTTTCTGTTTTGGTATTTCTGATTACTTACAATTATCTCTAGTCTTTTCCATTATGTCTTTAAGTTCTTTAATGTAATCTGAATATGATTCATCAGTTGTTGTTATTTCATCTGTAGCTTGTTGAAACATTGAATCTATGGGTAGCTTTGCTTTACGTCCAAACATTAGTTTGAAAGGGGAAATCTTTGTCGATTCGTGAGGTGTACTGTTGTATGCGTAGACCAATGTTGGAATATGGTTCTTCCAGTCTGATTTCTGCGATGTCGCTAAGGTTCCCAGCATATCTAATAACGTTCTATTACATCTTTCAGTTAATCCATTACCCATGGCGTGATACACTGATGTTTTCGTCTTCTTCATGTTAGTAATTTCACAAAGTTCCTTCATAATTTCTGACTGAAAATTTGCTCCTTGATCTGAATGTATGGCATTTGGAATCCCGTAGTGTACAATGAAATTATTATAAAAAGCTTCTGCTGTAGTTTTCGCTGTTTGGTTTTTAGTTGGAATAGCCATCGCAAGTTTAGTGAAGTGGTCTGTTATAACAAGTATGTTTGAAATTCCTTTAACTGGTTCAAGTGTCAAATAGTCCATGCAAACCATTTCAAGTGGATATGTAGTTGAGATGTTTACTAAATGTGCATAGTTATGAACATTGGACTTTCTTCTAAGGCATCTTTGGCATTGAGAAACATGGTTGTCTACATCTGCATACATTCTTGGCCAGTAAAATCTTTCTTTAAGTAAAGCTAAGGTTCTTTCTCTCCCAGGATGTCCAACATTGTCATGTAATCCAACCAGAATATCTTGTCTATAGCATTTTGGAATGACTAGTTGTTCAGTGTTGTTCTCTTCCAAATGTCTGTATAGAATACCTCGTTTTATCCTTAGATGTTTGAATTTCTCCTCATCAGAATATCTTATCTATCCCAGTTCTTTAATGGCAACTTCTTATCAATGACTGATTTTCTCCATCTTTCTATGGTGCTATCTTGTCTCTGACTTCTTCTTATTTCTCGCATCTCTATCTGTGCCATAGGTGTTCCAAAGTCTTCTGTTGCTTCAAGTATGTTGATATTAGCTGTTGGTAGAGTCTCTACATATGGAATGTAATTCATCTTGTTGCATATAGTCTTCACAATGTTGTTTTCAATCTTGATCATATCTGTTTCATCTTGTATAATGTTATGGTAAGGCTATCTTGACATTCCATCTGCGTCTGCGTTCTTTACACCGGCTCTGTATAATATGTCAAAATCATATGCTTCTAGGGCAGAGGCCCATCTTTGTCCGGTTGCGTCGAGTTTGGCAGATGTCAAAACATGTGTAAGTGGATTATTGTCTGTGAGTACTGTGAAATGCTTCAGTGCTAGGTAATCTGAGAATTTGTCTGTCACTGCCCACTTTAAAGCTAAGAACTCCAGTTTAAAAGCGAAGTAGTTTCTTTCCGACTTGGTTAATGATCGACATGCATATGCTATGACTCTCTTCTTTTTGTCTTGAATTTGGTATAAAATTGCTCCTAATGCTTTTGTCGACGCGTCTGTATGTAGTTCAAATGGAAGGCTGAAATCCAGGAATGCTAGTATTGGTGGAGATGCAAGTGTTTCCTTAAGCTGGTTGAATATGCGTTCTTCTTTCTCTGTCCATTGCCAATCTTTGAATACTTTCTTGGAAGTCTTTGAAGATGTTGGAGGTAATAATTCTGTAAGTGGTCTGGTAATCTTTGAAAAATCTCTAATAAATCTTCTGTAGTACCTGCAAAAGGCTAGAAAGGAACGGAGTTCATCTGAATTCTTGGGTGTTGGCCAATTTTTAACTGCATCAATAAAATCCAAAGTCATGAATAACACTGCAGGCATCCTTTCATTTGAAGAAAAATTCACAAATGCTAATAACGTTTTTTTTTCTTTTAAAAATTTATTGCCAGTATTTGCCAAATTAATGTGTACATATATAGGTCCTTTGCAAGTGTATTCTCTTTTTAACTGGTCCCTGCCATTGTGATTTAAGATCCTGTTTAAAGCAGCTTCACCTGAATCAAATAAAACATCAATAGTTTATCATTAAATGAAATTACTAAATGATAATCATACTTTCAATGCTTGCATTTTGTACTAATGTCATCAATGCACATATTCAGTGCCTGACCAATTCATTTTTTAAATACGTACCAATTAACTTCAACCTATATAATTATGTTTTGACAATTAATGAATACATGTATTAATTTTCCTACTTAATGCATTGCTTGATAAAAAATATTTACTGAGCTTTTTCTATTAGTGGTAAAGGTAACTTAACTTTAATAATTAAGGTGCAACTTTTAGAGAGACTTATTTTGTTTAACCATGAATTTCTGTCAAAACTATTCTAATTATTTCAACTATAATTTCGTTTTACCTTGTCTGTTTTAGTCCTTTGCTTTGTTTCATATAGAAACGTCTCTGGGGGATGTACTGTGACCTTTAAGAACAAAATTCATAGTTCATTATAAAAGATATGGAAATAAATTATGACCTATTACATGTATTAATTAGAAGTTAAGTATAAATGTATTTAATATCATCTCTTCAAGACTGTATTCAAAAATATAAAGCAGTTAACAGTCAATATTGTAGTATCTAATTAAATGCTATTGGTGACAAAATTTACATTTAAAAATTATTTTCCAACTGGGTAAATAGAATGTAAAATATTATTTTTTTCAGAATAAATTTGATAAAAATAATTGCTAGCAGACCTGAAATAATACTTGTTTTTTCCATAAATGTATCCAAAAGTTATTACCTGATTTTTTTTATGATTCTGGTTTTTATCTTCTTGTCCAAGGTTCAAATTTCATTTACAACCAGCATATCCCATAATCCAGAATATTGTCATTTTCATTAACAAGACTGTAGCCTTGATTTTTTTCTTTGAAAAGTTACAGAATTTTACACCCAAACATTTTATACAAAATATTGCCTAGAAAATTGCTTATATGTCCACAATTTCTTAATTATCAATAAGATCCTTTGTGATACATGAGCACTATTTCCACAAATACCTCAGATTTCAAATTTTACAACTGTAGAACTGGACTGATTCATCATGCATAATGTTAAACAGGGATATACCACAAATCAAAGCACCCATCATTTTACTTTCACAATCATATAGACATATGAGAAAAAAAGTGTAATGTAGAATTTCAAATTCATAATAAGTATTTAAAGATAACTTTGCAATGTCGGCTTCTAAACAGACTTCATTTAAAATCTATAAAATTGTTTCCCCCCCAGAAAAAATCAAATGGAAGAGTCTGGACTGTAGCAGAATCTATGGTGGGAAAACAGGTGGTTACCATTATCAGATTGGTCAGTGCATGGTGAAAAATTGGTCAGTTGCGTAAAATCATTGTAGAGTAGTAGAGGCAGTGTTTATTTATTTATCCTACTTAACAGGTCATTTATATTACAAACTAGATTGAGAGAGCTTAATGCATGAGTTTATTTCATACACAATTAACTTTACAGAGTGAAGAATAACTCATAATGTCTGCAAATTTGGAGTCTTGAATAAGAACATTTACCAGTTTGTTGTTGTTGTAGTTTTTGTTGTTCTTCTTCTTATACTTTAAAGAACAACGAGTACAGGCCTATGTGAACTATCTCATATTTTAAAACTAAATAATCATATACAATGTACATGTATATACAAATTTAGATTAGCACTCTGAGTTCAAAGTTGCTTACATAATGTTAAAAATTAAATCCTAAGTGTAAATAATGTGCATGCATTCTGTACAATTGCATCAAAGATATTAAAGTATTTAAATAAGAACAATTTTCTAAAAGATTTTTGTATTGTTTGAAGTTTGTATTGTACATCTGTATCATTGAAAATACAGTTGTAGTTTTGGACTTAGATTATTTTTAGCACAAAATATCAGCTCAATATTTTCTAAGTATCAGAATTACATGTGTACATCTAAAACACAGGTCTTGTCTCAAAAATACACCTGTAAAATTGTTAAAATACACCTGTATTTCTTAGTCAAAAGGTCAAATTCAGCAAACACAGGTCCCAATGACCAATGACCTGTATTTTTACAAAAACAGGTGTTTTCCAATCGTCTTACAGTTGTAAAACGGGCTATCATACTTTACAAAGAAGTAAAGAAAGTAAAGAAATATGTATATATATAAATAAATAAATATAAAGCAGTTTCTCTTTTCTATGATGTTCTCTTTAACGTTTATTTGGAACATTGTTATTGATACTTATATGTGAAAAATGCATATTTGATGGTATTTAAACAAATGTTTTAGATAAGAATTGTATATAAGGGATTGTAGAAGTTACATTTTCATACTTAAATTTGTACATTTTATCCACCATTTGTATGGAAATGGAAATGACATAATGTATTCGTTTTTATTCAAGGTACATATGTATTACTTCGCCGTGGTGCAGAGGTAAGCGGTCTCGTTGAGGGTGTGAGAGGCCTATGGTTCAAATCCTAGTCGAGGCAATTCTATTTTTTTTCATGCAAAATTCCATATGTATCAATCTCAAACTGTTATAGAAGAAAATCAAAACGCTGTCGCTGCGTAAGATGACTTATAGTATATAAAAATAAACTTATACA